CATCCCCTCCACAGCTGGGGCCTCCTGGCATCCAGTTGTTTGCAGAATCGGGTGGTTTTTCGGTGACTTGTTCCTCAAAGCTGGAGCACGGGCGGCAGCTCTGCAGGAGCAAGCCCTGAGCTCAGTGCTCGGGGCAGCAGTGCCGGGGGGAGAGGAGACCCACCCTGAGCTCTGGCCACTCAGTTGCAGGTGAGGAGGAGTTGGAAGAGCCTTTAAGAGCAGGGATTTCCCAGGGGCTGGATGGTTTCCTCCCGCAGGGGTTGGGATGCTGCTGCTTTGGGGCACGTGGAGCTGGGCAGTGCCTGGGCCGAGGAGGACGAGGCTGCGGCAGCGGTGCCGGAGCTGGAAGCGTTCAAGGACTCGCTCTGCGGGACCCTGTCCCTGCTCTTCCCGAAGCCGCTGGTGCGTTTGAGTCTCGCTCTGCTGGGTCTCATCCAAGTGGGATGGGAGCTTGGAAAGCTGCTCCCGCAGGCCGGAGCAGGGCTGGGTGCTGGGGTCCTGCTGCAGGGAGAGCCCCGGCTGTGGCTGGAGCCTGTGATGGGGACCTGTGTGTGACAGCTGGTCCCGGCATGTCCCCGTCCTCGTCCCCAGCTGTGTCCCTTGCTTCCCTCTGGGGTTTCTGCTGTCCAAACGGGCCGGGTCGCTGTTCTCAGCCCCCGGTGCCCCCAAAGTGACTGATGTGACAAGGGGACCGAGGGGACGGTGGCCCCGTGCCCGTGGGGCGGCAGCCGGCCCTGGCGCAGCCTCTCGCGGGGCGGCGGCGCGTGTGGTTATCTCAGCGAAGGCTGCAATTAGGCTGCTTGGCACTAACTCATCCCCAAAAGCTGCCGAGGAGGCAAGAAACCGGGATCAGCCATTTCGTGTGCAGCTTTACAGGGCGAAATGGAGACCCTGGAGGAGAGGTCCTTGGTCGGCAGCGGGTACCTCCTTGCTCCGTCCTGTCCGCACCGACCCTCGGAGCATCCCTGTGCCTGGCACGGGGCGCTGCTCCCGCGATGCTCCCGCACGGGCGCCGCGG